GATTTTATTTATTTATTTGAGAGAGAATGAGAGAGAGCACATGAGAGGGGGGAGGGTCAGAGGGAGAAGCAGACTCCCCGCCGAGCAGGGAGCCCGATGAGGGACTCGATCCCGGGACTCCAGGATCATGACCTGAGCCGAAGGCAGTCGCTTAACCAACTGAGCCACCCAGGCGCCCCAAGAGGAGACTTCTGAAATCTTATCTCAAACTGGACATAACGTTTATGCTGCTTTTGTATCTGCTGGGTCAGTGATGACTCAGCAGGTGGAACATATAAAGTGACTTCTTATCTTCATTCTTTGCCCCTAACTCTCATACAGGATTCAGGAACTTGGTAAGTCACACTAATACAGGGATTCCAGAAGATGCTCAGGTTAGTCAAACACTTATCACTTGACTGAGCTGTATGGATTGCTGGAAGCCCCAGGGAGGCAGATTTCATCTTGGAGAAAGGAGATGGGATGGGTCACTTGGTCTCAAAATACAGATAGATATGAGAGCGGCAGGGGGCATGGCTATGCGGCCAAGGGGCTGGGAGAGGAGAAATGTGAGGAGCAACATCTTTTCATTGGAAGAACTGTCTGGGAGTTGGGAGACCAGGGTCCCCATGCCTATGGAGAACTCACCCCAGGGCTGTGCTGGCCCCTTACCTTTCCAGGCCTCCTTTTTAATGGAGCTGGTCAGTGTCTATCAGTGTACTTCAAGATTGTGACTTTCTTAAGCCATGAATATTTTCCCTAAGTAAAATTTGGACCCATGTTGAATATTTAAAACCAATGAGCAGGGGCGCCTGGGTGGCTCAGTCGGTTAAGCATCTGCCTTCAGCTCAGGTCATGATCCCATGGTCCTGGGATGGAGCCCTGAGTTGGGCTCCCTTTTCGGTGGGGAGTCTGCTTCTTGCTCTTCCTCTCCTTCTGTCCCTCCCCTGCCCCACTCATGTTCTCTCTCTGTCTCAAATAAATAAAATAAAATCTTAAAAAAAACACACACTGATGAGTAGCTCTGATAAGTGGTATGGGGTGGGGACTGGTCACTTTCTCCTCCTTCCCTTTCAGGCAGCACCATAATTTGAACACTTTGACATGATGGAATCTGATTGACTGACAGGTTGTCCACCAGACAATCCTGCAGATGCAATGTTTGGACTCTTTGGGAGAGCTGGAAACTCACACCTGCAAGTCAAGTTGCCTGTTGTTGCTAAGTAAAATCCTCAGTATTGCATGTTCAAGCGTGTTTGTCAAGAGGATGTTTAGCTTGATGAGACCAGGAATTAGTGTAATGTGGGCTTGATATTAGCAGAGCTGCAAGTCAAAGTGAATAGGATGTTTGAATATAATGCATTCTGTTCCTACCCCAAAGAGGGAAGGATGTTCTCAAGAGGCAGGCAGATCACCTAATATCATTATAAAAGGGAACAAGAAATGTGACAAGATTTTACTCTATCATAAGGCAGAGATAACACGGCATTACTATTTTAATTATATGGGCACTGTCTATTTAATCTTCATGTATTTAATATTGTTCTTTGGAATGTTAATGTACATAATGATATACAGTTTTTTGTATATTAAAACAACACAATAAGATATCCAACAAAATGTAAATCTCTAAGAAAAGATGAAAAAAATTGCTGTTTAAGTTACAGAAACATAAGATAGTATACCATACATGTTAATTGTTTAATTAGTCTTACAGTTAGTTACTAATGGCCACAGTAAATAATCCTATTGTGGAATAGTTTAAAAATAGCATATGATAAGGGAAAATTAAATAATTAAAAATAAAATAAAATTTCAAAACACCTAGGTCAACACTCAGTCTTAGAGAAATAACTTAGATGTGTGTAATTATTTGTTACATATTATATTATCATGTTTTACTTTTTGTTGTCTATTTTGGCTAAGTACCCAGGTAGCACTCTAAAAATTAGTGTCCCTTGTAATGGGAGAAATACATTGGGGTGAATTTTGACCTTCTGTAACTGTTTGGAGGGGCAACATAATGTTTCTCCTAAGATCGTGTTGACAGGGAAGGATGCAGAACACACTGTGCCGGGAGGGCAGAAGTGCAAGTGCAAATGGCGCCGTTTGGACGGGCAGAGATGGGGTGACCCTAGTGCCCACATCTTCAGTGTCCTCTCCCTGTCAGCACCCCTGCTCTTTGAAGCAGCTGTCTGGAGGCAAATTGTACTTTCTGTCCAGGCTGGGAGGTCCCAGGTCCTTTGCATTCTGATCCCATTTCTTCAGCATCTCTGTTGACTCAAGGTCAGGGCTGTCTTGTGGTCCCCTGCAGAGGTGACAGAAGACGCTTCTCGAAGAACCCTAGCCCTCAATATCCTTAATTCTCTAACTTTCTGTACCTGTCCAATTTATTCTTGGGGCACCCTCCTTTCCCCAGACAAACTCAGACATCACTATCAAGGTCACCAGCCTTCACCTCTGTGACTCTGCTATAGTTAATGTCTAGTTATAGTTAGTGAATTGCCAGTGTTTAGTTTCTCCTGACTCTGATGATCTGCCCTGGGGGTGGAGGCATTGGGTCTCTGTAGGCAGCAAGTCTGCTGGAACTATTGGTTTGGGAGAGAAGTTCCCGGTGAGATTTCTGTGTATGAGCTTGTCGTGGTTTTCTGACTTTTTGGTTAAGTCAGGAGGGCCTGTAATACAGAGTCTGCACGTGGAGAAAGAAAGTGGGAGGAACTGAGTCCTTTTGCACTAGTTTTCAGTGTGCAAAATACTTTCTTACCAAAGTTCTGCTGCTGAGGTTTACTTAATAGGGAAAGGTACGGACATATGGAAGGGTGGAGGAAGGGCTTGGCTTCTGGGATGATCATGATGGAAATTGTCTTCTGGAGGTGAGCACTGTGAGGTCTGTAGATATCTTTCCAGCAGGGCAGCTGGAGGCAAAGAGCTGCCTTGGAAGTGCTGACTGGTAGAGAAAGACATGGAGGTGAGATGGGTCTGCTCTGATGTTTCCTTGGCACTGAGTCCAGAGTGGTGCTCTGGGCTCTAAGTAAATGTCACAGAGAGGGAGGGCTGAATGGACTCTTCCATTGCTCTCCCCTCCCCCTTCCCCACCACCAAGTATTCTTTCTATTTGCCAATGCAAAGAATTAATAATGAGACTGTTATCCCCCAGAGCAGGCAAATAATAGATAATTCCTATGGGTAGATGGTAGCAAGTGTAGAGAGTGCCTGAGTATTGTCAAAGACGTAATGTTGATTAAAATTTTGTTGATACATGGCTTACACTGAATATTATAGGCAAATGACTTTCTATGATTATAGGCAAAAAAATAGCCATACAATGATTAAATTTACCAAAGTATTTGTGTATATAGCCAGTTAGACTTGATAAAATATGTGTTCAGTGATTATTCCATTTAAGATTATGGAAACTGCAAAAGTTCAGATGGTAAATGTCACACTGCAAGGAGTAATTAGCATTTTGATGGATGTAAAAAAACCTCCCTGCTGATTCTGTACAGTTATCTTAAGAAGGTATTTAAAGTATGGTTTAAATTTTGTGACTTTAGTAATCTTTTATTTGAATATAATATTGATATAGATAGTCATGGGCTAATTTTTTGGGTACAAGTCATTATTTTAGTTAACATTTTGTGGGGAGTTTTGTGTAACTTTAGAGTATCAAAATAAGAAAATGAAGCAGTGGTCTGTAATCCAGTGGGGGTTGGTGTGGCTTAAGGGTTTAAGAGAAGAACACTAGCTGTGGATAGGCGCTTGGGTTGCTTGCGTCTCTTGGCCATTGTGAATAGGGATGCTGTGAACGTGAGTGTTTGGTAGCTATTTTTAAACATGCATATCTTTACTTTTTTCTTCCTTCTAGTACATGTATGGTTTCATTTTTTTTGCATTTATTTATTTAAAAAAATTTTATTTATTTATTTGAGAGAGAGCGAGCGAGAGAGAGCGAGAGAGCGAGAGAGATGGAACAGGGGGAGGGGCAGAGGGAGAGGAAGAAGCAAATTCCTCACTGAGCAGGAACCCGGGGCTCGGGCTTGGGGCTCTATCCCAGCACTCCGAGAGCATGACCCGAGCCGAAGGCAGACGTTTAACCACCGGCTGAGCCACCAAGGCGCCCAATTTTTTTTGCATATAGGTATCATATCTATTTGAGTTTTATTTTGGCTTTTAGTGTGAGGACTAGGTCCAATTTTATCTTTTTTCCCCCAAATAACTGTCTAGTTGTTCTAATACCATCTATTAAAAGTTCACTGTTTCCCAGAGATTTGCCACTTTTATCAAATATTAAATTGAGCCTTGTATGGAACTTCAATTCTGTCCCTTTGGTCTGCCTGTCCTACACATAGCACGGGTATGCGGTTTCAGTACAGAGCTTTGCCCAGGGGAGAGAAAAGACTTTCCATCCTTCTCCAAGGCGGTGGGGGGAGGAGAAACGGGGGACTGGCTGGCTTGGAGAAGGGAAGAAGCTCCTCCCGATCCCCGCGATGGTGTGGGAGAGGTTAATTGATCCTGGGGAAGAACCCCATTTTCCCGGAGGGACTCAGACTCTGTTCTGGCATGCGTTTGTTGTGTACGGAAGGATGGTTAAGGAACACATGAGAAATCAGTTATTTCCACTCTAGACATGGACATTTATTAAGGCTCTGGCACCTTCCCTGGAGCCGCCCCAGGGCAGAGCCAGTCACAGGGGGGGAGGCGGGGGGGGGAGGGGCTAGGTCTCGCAAGGCTGTTTGAAGCGTCTCATTGTTCTATTTACCCAGGGCATGAAGCTCCTAATCTTGGTGAAGACTGCTGGAGGAGTGCCGCTCCTATCTCCATAGGAGACAATGCCCTGGGCCACGCCGTTACACACCATGGGGCCCCCGGAGTCCCCCTGAGGGCACGGAGAGAAAGAGACCCTAAGCCAGGCTTCCCCGCTGCTCCTCCTGGCTCTCAGAGAAAGCAGGGGTGTGTGGGTGAGATGGGCGGGCGGTGGAGATATGGAAGTCAACCTTCTGGATCTTTCCATGGCTGGGCTTCAGGCTTGGCTACAGGTACTGTCTCTCACTCAACCCATGCAACATACCTTCCCCTGCGGCAGGAAAATCCTGCACATGTATATGTTGTGTTCCCCCGGGACAGGATGGATGGGAAAAGCCCCTACCCCACTCTGCTCTGACCCCACCAGACAAGGGGGGGAGGTGTGGGGGATATAGCTTCCTCCTACTGCCCAGCCTGCCCAGGTCCCCGTGTCGGGCAGTGTCGGCGACAGACGCTCATGGCCTTACCAGGAAGGCGGACTTCCTCTTCCTTGGGTCGCCCACACAGATTTGCGTTTGGCTGTCGTAGAAACCGAAGCGATTGGAGCACCTCGAATCACTCTGCACGGTTAGCTGCACCTGGTGGAGTCTGTTTGTCCTCTTGTTCAGGCCCAGCAGGCCCCAGCCCGCCACGGTGCACCTGGCCCCGGGTCTCACCCTGGCCCGCCCGCGAGGCAGAGCCACTGGCCTCACCGCGGACGTCCGTCTCATTGGTCGTGCCAGCTGCCAGGAGGGGCGCAGGCGCTCAGGGGCCATCTGCGCAGCTCGTCGCGCGCTCCATCCCCGACCCGGGACTCTGCCCCTGCCTCCTCCCCCAGAGTCCCCGCAAGGCGAAGCCCCCCAGCACTGGGCATGGACTGGCGGGTCGGGCAGGCCGCACCTTTAGTAACATGATGTCATTCCTGTTGGTCTGGGGATTATAGCCAGGGTGGCGGATGGCTCTGCGCATCTTTGTGCGCTGCTGGGTCCGTTCCTGCCTGCGGATGTTGTGGGCCCCCAGGATGACCGTGATAGTGCTGCAAAGGAGAGGGGGCCTCGAAGTAGGTGTGAGCCTGAGGAGCTCCGGCCACCCGCTCTGCACGGCAGGTGGACAGCCCAGGGCGGCAAGATTGCCGCTGAGGGAACTGAGGGGACAGGAGGGGTTCAGGGGCCCAGGCCTCTGTGCTTCTCCTCAGCCCTGAGCTGGGGGTGGTGCGGGACGCAGTGACTTTGAGTTTTGCTTCCCCTGGGATTAGTTGAGAAATAGCTTAAATTCCTATTTTGAGCCCCAGCATGTGTCTTCATCTCCTCCTGCTTTTTTTGATCATGTCCTCCTTTTCTCCTCGGTCGCCCTGACCTGTTCTCTGCCCCCAAAGTCCCACTGGTCTCTTTTTCACTCCATTGTGGCTGGAGCCCTGCTTTCACATGGCTGGGCCTGCGTTCCCCTGGGGCTGCGGTCCTGGCCCTCCAGGAGCCCCCCAGCTGCTCACCTTCCCCAGCAGTGGGCTGCCGTCAACACGAAGTCATTTCTCACCAGGAAACCCCCGCAAGTTTTGAGCCCCTCTTGAGACTGGATTTGGAGAAATGCCATATAGGGGTGGGAATGAGGCCTGGCCTCTTGGCCTCCAATGATCTCCCCTGGAAGGAAACATTCGGCACTTATCTCTGTGCTGGCTGAACCAGCAGTGTGGGCACCAGGGTGGTGGCTCCAGAAAGCCTGGCAGATGGGGAGCGGGGAGAGATGATGCAGGGGAAGGAGGAGCTGGTGGTGAGAAATGGGTCTGCCGGGCACCCACTTTGGGAGAGGGCTCCTGGGTTCTGCAGGAAACACTGCTGGCTCTCCATCCCAGACCTCAGCTCCCTCCCAGCTCCCCAGAGAGCAGCCCCAGCCTCTCTGGAAGTTCCCTGGAACTTTCTTCCTCAGGGAGACTCCCAGGTCCCTCTGAGGCCTGCTCAGGGCCCGCTCATGACCAGCATGGGACTGGTTTTTCAGAATCTAGACAAGAGCTGATGGTAGTTCTTGCGCATTCTTATTGCCTGGGCTCGGACCCGTGGGCAGCAGGATGAATTTAGAGAGCGCATTTATCTCACATGTACTATGTGCTGGGGCAATTCCAAGAGTTTTATGTATACTAACTTAAGTCTCATAGAACTTTAGGAAGTATGCATTGGTATTATTCCTAATTTATAAATGAGGAATCTGAGGAGCTGTGAATTCAAATAACTTGCCCAACGATACAAAATTAGGAGGTGTCTAGGCAGTCTGGCTCCAGGGTCTAGGAGAGGGGTCAGGCCTGAGGTTGGTGACGGTCACTCACCTGCCCCAGCCCCAGGGGGTAGGAGAAAGGCCATCAGGAGCAGGAGGAGTGGCATCTTCTTGGGAAGGTTGCTCCAGTTAGGTGTTGCAGGTGCTCTCTCCTGCCAGACTTGTAGTCCCTGAGAGAGGAAGGAAGTCTGGGGGGTGGGAGGGGGCCTCAAGAACAGTTCCATTCTCCTGCTGGTGTGATAGGTTTCATCACCCAAGGCTGCCCAGGAGGCCTGCCCACCAACTGCCAGTGATCTGCAACTGCCCATTTCCAAATTGCTAATTTAATTTATACCATAGTAAGGTGTGGACATTGGCGAATGAAAGATGGGTGTGGGTGGTAGTGGGATGCGGTGAGGACACCAAGAGTAAATCAGAGGAGGCAAAAGAGGGAGGAGGAAGGCGGCCTGTCTTTACCCTTTGGGTCTGGACCCCCTGCTGGTATCTTTGCTGCTCCCACTTCTTTCTAGAAGTTGTCACGGCAGGTTGAGGAGCTCTCCTGAGTGGGTGCAGGGCACAGCCAGCGAAGGAAAAGGGAAGAACAAGGCTCTGCCACTGATAATTACTTTCTCAGGACACTTGAACCCCAACAAACTCTCAGTGAAAATTATGACACAGTTGAAAATTTCTATTTTCCTGCTTCCTAATCAAGGTGAGGGCTTTTGTGTCCCAGAAGGTTCCCTGCACACAGAAAAGACCCTGGCTGAAAGAAAAGCAACTAAGATCCTTTTCATCCATGATATGAGTCCAATTCACCTAATCCTCATTCTCTGCGCCAGAGGCTTCTGAGAAGGAAATGCACGCTTGCTGTGCTGTCTGCAATCCATAAAGAATCATCTATAATACATAAAGAACATGCGCTCCACATCGAGAGTAAGGCATTGCAGATCACTGCAAAGTAACACAGGTACCCTTAAAAATACTTAGAAGATTCTGTGGATGCACAGAAAAACACTGTAATATGGTATAATTTTTGCAAAAATGTCAGAATTAAAAATTAATACAATTCTTAAACTTTTACGGCTGTGAGAGCCCCACTTGAAAATATTATGGAAATGAAGGATCCTCTTCTTGTATATAAATATACATGATTTTCACAGCTGCAAAGAACTTAATCCCTTCTCTGATACATGCTTAATGATTGCAACCTCATGAAATTTCTTTATGCATCTGAAAAGTAATATATAAAAAAAAGAGAAAACATTATAACGGCTTTATTAGTGCCTTAGCATTAGGGGTAATTTTAATTTATTGTTACTTAACTTTTTCAACACTTAGCTTTAAAAACATTAGTCTAGCTTTTTTTTTTTAAGATTTTATTTGAGAGAGAGCATGGGGGGATGAGGGTGGAGGGGCTCAGCTCGGGGTCTGCTAAACTTTCTGTCTCCCTCTTTCTGCCCCTCCCTGCTGTGCGCGCGTGTGTGCTCTCTCTCAAAAATAAGTAAATCTTAAAAAAAAAAAAAGAAGTCATGGGCGCCTGGGTGGCTCAGTTGGTTGAGCGACTGCCTTCCGCTCAGGTCATGATCCTGGAGTCTCAGGATCGAGTCCCGCGTCGGGCTTCCTGCTCAGCAGGGAGTCTGCTTCTCCTTCTGACCCTCCCACCTCTCATGTGCTCTCTCTCTCTAATAAATAAATAAAATCTTTAAAAAAGAAAAAAAGAAAAAAAAAAGAAGTCACAATGGTAAGTTCATTCTGGGGTTGGAGGGCGGAGAAGACATTTTTAAAAAAGATTTTATTTATTTATTTGGCAGATAAGAGACATAGGGAAGAGGGACAACAAGCAGGGGGAGTGGGAGAGGGAGAAGCAGGCTCCCCGCAGAGCAGGAAGCCCATGCGGGCCTCGATCCCAGGACCCTGGGATCATGACCTGAGCGGAAGGCAGACGCTTAACGACTGAGTCACCCAAGCGCTCCTGGAGAAGGCATTTTTACTGGGAAAAGACACATGGGGGTTTCTGAAATTTGGCCATCGTTGTTTAAGTTTTGGGTGCTTTTCATGTGTGTATATTTTGCAATAAAATTTTTTTTAAAAAAGTCTGTTTGCCAGGGTTGGGGATTAGAGGGAACATTTGGACAGAGAATGGAATGTGGGAGAACAAATAGGGGCACATATGTTTTTATTTTCTATTTTAATAAAAATTGTGATATTGGAACAAGGAAGACTGTGATACATTTCACAAGATTCATAGCTGGTTACATCTACTTTTGACTGTTTTATTACATTTCCGTCAGTTACAATAGTTTTCTCCTCTGGGATGTTGGGACATTAAAGTAGGATGTTTCCCACCTCCTCCCAGGCCCCGTTTACTGCCCAAATGCAAAACCTCTGGGCAGGCAGTTGGCCGCTGAGGCCGGGACCACTTCCCTCTCTGTCCCTTTAATGCTGCTCTGGTCAGAAACCAATCTGGTTGCTCTTGGCATTGTAGGAGACCAGTGTACTACTGAGGCATTCCGGACATTCTCAGGGCCGCCTTACTATCACATTTGGAAGCACAGAGTGGAAGCTCCTTGGGAAGTTTCTGCTGATGAGCTTGTGCTTGTCTTACGGAGTGCCAGTGCGGGGAGAAGCAGCTCTCTGTGCTGTTGTCTTCCCACACACGCGCGTCTGCTGGGAGTGAGACTTTCTTTGCAAGAACTGCCCTGTGCTCTGCTCCGGTAGGAAAGAACAGGTGACAAAGGAAATTCTAGGTGGACATATTCCCTGAGACTCTCTTCCCCTAATGCTCAGACCATCCGACTCTTCAACAATAGGACATCAGTAATGCTAATTCTGATATATTCATGGGGTGAAATGCTATCCAGCCATTAAATAGCATCATATTTTAAAGACTGCTTAGTAGCATGGAGCACACTCCATCATCTAATATTAAGTGGAAAAAGTAGAATGTGGAACGGTGTGTACAATTTGATACTGATTCTGTTAAAAAAGAACAACAGCCAGAACGATCATTTTATGACTCTTATTTTCCCTTTTATATTAGCCAATTTTTTCTATAATGGCTATGTATTAGTTTTACAGGTAGAACAAAATTTAGGGCCCGCAATCCGTTTGAACAGCAAACACTGTAAGGAATTGTGGTAGAGGTGAGCTAGTGGTCTAGCAAAACAATTTCCCTTTCTTCCAGAGGACTGGGTGCACACTGTTGTGCAGCCTTACTTGACGTTAGGTGTGACAATGGGACTGTTGTAGCAAATGGGATGTGAGTGGAGAGTCTGTGGGTACCTTCCAGACCCAGCCTATCACGTGCTCCTGTGCCTGACCATCCAGGTTCTTCCCCTACCTGGGTTTGACCCAGATGAACACAGGGCGCTTGGAAGCCATCTTTAGGAGCCTGAGTCTGGGCTCCTTAATCATGGGCACACATGCAATTTATTGTCCCAGCTGGGACACTCGAGAGTAAAACGGGCACTACTCACCAGGAACATTCATTTTGGACTGTTTGTGAGCAAGAAATAGGTTTCTGTTGTATTAGTCACTGAACTGCTGCAGTTTATGTGGTAGAATAGTTAGGGTTATCTTTTTTTTTTATTCTTATGTTAGTCCCCATACATGACATCATTAGTTTTAGATGTAGTGTTCCATGATTCATTGTTTGTGCATAACACCCAGTGCTCCATGCAGAATGTGCCCTCCTCAATACCCA